AGTCATTGTATCCAAGGTTTCACTCCAGGAACTTACAGAAACCAGAAGAAAAAGCTGTATCTGAGAAAATGGCTGTTGTGGAGGAAGTTATAATAGTTAGAATCATTCCTTCCCTTTTCTTTAGTTTTAGACCTAGCTATGCACCCCAGAAACAACAGAGTTTATTTTCTCTGGTTTTGAGCCTTGAATGGAATTTTTTTCCTTTTTTGTGGCATGTATTCTTCCAGGGTGGGGGGGTGGGGGGGAACTGTCGACATGTTTTAAGCCTCATTCATATTATTACAAGCTGATTTTATTTTAATTGCTGCTCTGACTACAATTTTTAATGCAGTCTACTGATAGCCATATAAGTTGTTTCCAGTTTGGAACAATTACAAACACTACTTCCATGAATATTTCTGCACACACGTCCTAGTACACACAGGCAAGATGAATTCTCAATTTGACTAATCAGGCCAAACTGTTTCCAAAGTGACTATACTGTTGTGCAGTCTGCCCAGCAGGCTATGAGCACTCATGCTGCCCCACAGCCTCACCAACACCTGGTATTACCAGCTTTAATTTTTGCCACTCTGGAGGATGGGATATAGAGTGTGAGTGTGTGTGTGTGTGTGTGTGTGTGTGTGTGTGTAACTCTCCAAAAGGAAACAGCATGAGATAGGCCCAATAACAGGACAAGGAATCCTACAGCAGCAGACCAGATATTGTGCTCCTTGACCCAACTAGTAAATGTTGTAAATGTTTATCTTTGGGGAAAGAAGGGGAAGGGCCCACCCAGCTTCGGTTCTTCTTTGCCTTGGTAACTTACCACCTATGAGTTAGTGAGATGGAGATACTCTAACTGTTAATCCAGAGAAAGGGAGGAATCTAAGCCATCAGCTAGGAAGTTACTGCTTTTCATCAAATTTGAGACACCTATGACATCACACTTTAGCATCTCTGAAATGTGATCAATGGCATGTCTTAATTTAACTGGCAAAATATTTTTTTCATGTGGAGCACAAAATAGGGGCACATAAAAGAATTGATGGTGCTGTGGTTTGAACATGTCCCCCCAAAATTCACATGTTGGAAATTTAATTGCCAGTGTAACAGTATTAAGAAGTGGGGTCTTTAAGATGTGACTGGGTCATGACGGTGGATCTCTCATGATGGATTAATGCCATTCTTGCTAGAGCCCATTGGCTTCCAGATCCGTGAGCTGAATAAACATCTGTTGTTTACAATTTAACCAGCCTGTGGTATTCTGTTATAGCAACAGAAAATGGATTAAGATAAACAGCATCTTAGATTTGGTGAGATGTGGCATATCTCCTAAAAAGTGCTCCCAGGATCATTCTTCTAGCACACAGGATCTCATCCTGTTATTCTCCTGCTTCAAATCTTCTAGCTGAGGCTGGGCTCAGTGCCTATAATCTGAGCACTTTGGGAGGCTGAGGCGGGAGGATCCCTTGAACCCAGGGTTCAAGACCAGCCTGGGCAACATAAGGAGACCCTGTCTCTAAAAAAATAATAATAATTAATTAATTAATTAAAATAAAAACAAACCAAAAAAACTCCTACTAGCTGAGGTGGAAACTGCACAGGTATCCTCCTCTGCCCCTCATCCCGTTAGCTCCAACTTACCCATCCAGTCCTAAATCCTACCTCGTCCTACCTAATTCTCTGGCCATTAGATACACAACCAGGGAGACAGCCCCTTCTTCACTCTCCACTCTCCACCCATGCCCTTGTACGAGCTCTTCTCTCCAGTCCAGCTCGTCCTTGAAGGCTTGAATACAATTTGTCCCCTTATCTGTGAAGTCTTTCTTGTGCCCATCCCATCGCTGAGTTGAATGTATCCCTCCTCTGGAGAGCTCCTGCAGCTTTGCATACACTGTATTTCTATGATCACACTATCACACTCCTTCATAGAGTAGCACCCCCACCATCTGCTGAAGATACATTCATACAGGAGGAGTCCCCTCAATCCTCAGGAGACACATTCTAAGACTCCCAGTGGTGTCCGAAACCTATGTTTCTCCTACACACACACTCATAATAAAGTTTATAAAGTAGGCACAGAAAGATTAACAATAATAACAGAACAAAATAATTTTAACAATATACCATAATAAAAGTTATATGCCTGTGGTCTCTCTTTTGAAATATCTTGTACTGTACTCTCCCTTCTTGTGATGCAGGAACAGTGGGATGGTAAGAGATTTCATCATGTTACTCAGAACAATGCACATCTAAAACTTATGAATTGTTTACTTCTGAAATTTGCTGTTTACTGTCTTTGGACTGAGGTTGACGGTGGGTAACTAAAACCATGGAAAACGGAGCCATGGATAAGTGGCTGTAATTGATATTTTTATCTGCCTTCTCTCCCAACCAGAATGTAAACCCAAGGGTCATGCCTCACTGATCTTTTTATCTCCAATACCCGGTACAAAGTAGAGGGTCTGCAAATGTTTATGAAATTAATACGCTCCTCTAATTCCAGAGCCTTGGCATCTCCATTCTCCCCCCTTTCACCACACACCCCACTTTCCCACATTAAAATTCTGCTTCAGCAGCAGGCTCCCAGGGCTATCCTTACATTAGACATTCTTGGCCACACACATTACCTAGATCTCTCCTGGTCTCCCTCTGCATGCACACAATTTTGGGGGGAAGGACAAAATTCCACTTCTATCAAGTTGGCAAAATCTAATTCATCCCAATGCCAGCCAAATTACACTTTTGTCTTCTAAAACCAACTTCCCATTCTCTATGTCTTTTCTATTCAGATCCAGGGGGGATCCAAGTCTGAAGTCACATCAACAAGCCTCAATTCAGACCACGGGCTCTCTTCTGAGGTTTGCAGTGTCCTCTGTGGTGGTCACACCCAATCTGAGTCCAACCTGTTTGTACCTTGCAGGAAGCGGTATCTAAGAAGTCATCCACTGCCTTGGGCCTTCAGTCTCCTTACCTCTTAACAAGGGGAAAATATTTTGCCAAGTTTACCAGGCTACTTGAGGTTCAAGCAAGGTCACATTAAGTATAAGTGTCTCATTAGCAAAAAGCTCTATAAAAATACATGCTGGGAAGGAGCACAGGAGCCAATGTGAAACAGCTCCCAACAGCCAAAGCTGCAATAATCTGAGCAACAAAATAAAGTGGTACTGAATTATAAACCAAAGCATAAAATAAATGTCCCTGAGTTTTATTAAATTAATGATTTAATTTAATAAAATGGATACATTAATGAATTAATTAAATTAATGATTTAATAAATTAATAAATGCAGAAGAAGAGAGAAGCAAATCTTCCATGCAGAATAACTGCAAATAATATCTGTAGGGGCTGGGTATGGTGGCTGACGCCTGTAATCCCAATGCTTTGGGAGGCTGAGGCAGGTGGATCATGAGGTCAGGCGTTTGAGACATGCCTGGCCAACATAGTGAAACTCCATCTCTACTAAAAATACAAAAAATTAGCCAGGCGTGGTGGCAGGCATCTGTAATCCCAGCTACGCGGGAGGCTAAGGCAGGAGAATTACTTGAACCCGGGAGGCAGTTTGCAATGAGCTGAGATCGCGCTGCTGCACTCTAGCCCAGGCGACAGTGCGAGACTCCATCTCAAATACATATATGTGTAGATACTTGCCCTTAAGGTATGGGCTGCACTTGGTGACTTCCTTCAAGAGGACAGTACATGCAAACAGTGGAAAAAAGAGTAACTTTACAGTGAAGAAACCTGAAAAACACTCTCAGCCAAGATCAATATTAAGTCATAAATCAGGTTGATAGTACATGCCCTTGACACAATGGGATGAAAATGGTAATCTACCTCTATGTTCTTCCTCCCAGTTATTCATAAGCCTAATCTAAGGAGAAAAACATCAAATTCCAATAGAGTGGCATCCTACATTATATACAACCAATATTCTTCATTACTGTCAAGGTCATCTAAACAGGTCTGAGAAACTGCCACAACCAAGAGGAGCATAAGGAGACATGACAACTAAATGTAATGTGGTAACCTGCATGGAATCACAAAACAGAAAAAGTACTGAGTTAAAAACTAAGGAAATCTGAACACAGTACGGACTTTGGTCAATAATAATGTATTGATATTGGTTCATTAATTGCAACAAATGTACCACACGGAGAGAGGTAAGATGTAAATAACAGGGGACCCGGTTTGGAGCATGTAGGAACTCTGTACTATCTTCTCAATTTTTCTGTAAATCTAAAAGTGTTGTAAGAAATAAAGTCTACTTAAAAAATAAAAGTGCAATTTTTGAAACATAAAAAAGCCTATTTTTTAAGGTGATTTTTTGAACTTGGGGAAAAACATGTTAAGTATTATGATTTCAGTTATACAGGAGGTTAAGGCATGCATAAATGAATGTCATTCTCCCTCTTTTGAAGCACACATAAATCGTGGGGTCAAAATTTGAAATCCTACTGGAGATTTGGAAGTGTTTCCCTCCCATTTACTCCACAAAGTTAATTTACACTTTTTTTCTAAGGCCAAATAGGGAGAAAATCAGCAAGAAAAATGTTGATGAGCTGGAGGGAGTGAAAGCACAGCTCCAAGTATTTGTGGCTAAACCGGTTTACTCCGACCAAAAAAAAAAAAAAGAAAGAAAGAAAGGAAAAGAAAAAGAAAGCAAGCATGACACTTTGGTCAGGGAACTGGATTAGCCGCCTATCTACCAGGCTCCAAGCAAACGGACGGTCAACCAGGCCCCGCTTACTTCTGGTTCCGCAGACTATAATGGATCGGAGTCTGAGGAGGACACCAGAAAGCAAGGAGGACCCAAGAGGAAGAGGAGAATGGAAGGACAAGCAAGCAGGAGGGATGAGGCTGGCGGGGAGGACGCAGCGAACTTGACCCCCTCCTGAGCCCGCCCGGGGGCCTGGCCCCGTTCTGAACCCGGGCCCGGCGGCCGCGTTGGGTCGCCCCAAACCCGGGGCGCGTGCGACACTGTTGCTTCGCTTATCTCTCATCCGACACCCCCTACTCACCGGTCCCGAGCTCCGGCAGCGAACCCCTGCCGGGGCCCCTCCTCTCTCGCGCCGGTCTGTTCCGGGTCCCGCTTCTCCACTAGCAACCAGCGCGACAGCTAGTCCCGGCCCCGTAATCTCCCGGCTATTCGGGGCCCTTCGCCGAGATTTCTCCCAGACCAGCCCCTGGATTGGCTCCTGCTGAACTCCGCCTCCCAATAGGAACCTTAGTCTCTTTTACGTCACTGATCACCGGGCAAATCCCCAGCCGCCTGATTTCAGTTCTCCTTTCTCTGCCGTTAGTGCCCCGCACCACCGGCAGAGAAATGAAAACTGAAATCAGGCGGGACCGAGGCTGCGCCAAGAGCCGCAGGCTGAGTTTGGCGCGTAATCCAGGTGGCCTGTTACACGGTTTAAGGGAGCAAATCCTAAGGCTTATGAGGCCCCTACGTAGGACTCTGACGGTGCCCCTTTCCACCTCTCGAGACCCCTCACTGCCCAACTCTGGCCTTCCGCTTGATCAGGGTCCGAGGGCGCTTTGAGGCGAAGGTGACTCTCACCAGGGGCTCAACAGTAAATACTGAGTCCCTTCCCCTAAGATGACCTAATTTTGCTTCCAGAACAAAGCAGGATTTCAGCAAGCAAATAGCAGAGACCTATTTACGAAAATTATTACTTCCTAGGTAAAATAACGTTCAACCAGACAGCCATTGTCGCCATTCGCCGGAAGGTAAAACTGAGGTTCCAGAAGCTGAAGGGTCTGGGCCCAGTTCAGGGAGGTTGTTTCCGCCCCTCGGCGCTGTATCTAGAAACCAGAGGATGCAAAGCGGGCCGAGACCCGGGTTCCGAGGGTCCTCGGTGGGGAGGTTTCCAGAAGGCTTGGGCGTGCCCTTACAGCCCTGGAAGCTGATGCCGCTAGAGCGTACGCGGGTGCCCAGCCTGCGCTCGCTTCTTGCTCTGCCTGCAGCCGCCGCGTCCAGTCCAGTCGCGAGGCCATGCCCTGTGCTGCCGTTGCCGTGTCCCAGGCACCGCCGCGTGAAGATCTCCGTCTTTCCGAGCCAACTGGGCGGCCGCGGCGATCGACCCGTGCACTGGGCTGGGAGCAGGCTGGAAGAGGCGGCGCAGGTCCTCCGGGTCAGCCAGTGCCCTGCTCCTAAGGGTGGAGATGTAGCTGCGACACCGGTCACCCACCTAGTCAGTGGTGAGAGGTTGGGCCACATTGTTTGGGTATTCATGAATGGAGAAGCTCAGGGTCCTTGACCCTAAAACCTGCCACATCTTCACCCTGCCTCCACTGGGAGTGGGGAAATTTGCACTGCATTTACGCAGAGTGTGGTGGAGTGGGTGGGATATTAAGAAGCCACGCCCACATTTAACATCCCGCATCCTTCCTTTCTACCCTGCCCCTCCCCGCATTTTGTCTTTTTTCCCCTTGTCCAGCGGTATAACTCACGCTGCTCCTCCAAGCTGGGAGGGATGTAGACCTCAGCTGCTTAGCACAACTCTGGCGGGCCTGTGCTCTGGAGGTGGTCTCAGCACATCCTGCTTAGACCCTCTTGGTACCTGCTTTTTTACTTGGTATTGTGGGAACAAAGTGTGTTTAAGATGCTCCTTTGAATCGCTTGAACCCAGGAGGCGGAGGTTGCGGTGAGCCAAGATCGTACCATTGCACTCTAGCCTGGTCCACAAGAGCGAAACTCTGTCTCAAAAAACAAACAAAAAAGTGCTCGTTAACCCATTCACAGGCCATTTTGGGCCGGGCCTGGGGCTCCTGACATAACAGCCCTTCTTAGCTCTCTGATCTCCCTCATGCCACTTTTCCCTCAACCCCTGTGCTTTAACCTCTGTGGTCTTTGTTATAAGTAAAATTTCAATGCCGCCAAAGAAATAGCACTTGAAGATAAATCCTCTCAGCAAGACAGTTTACTTCTATAGAAGGGTGTGGCATAGAGATGGAACAATGGCTGCAGGCTTGTAGGGAGAAGGGGTACTTATGCCTGATGGGAGTTGTCCCTACTGCTGTGTCTTTCCCCTATTGGCTAGGGTTAGACTGAACAAGCTAGACTAATCCCAATTGGCTATTTTAAAGAGAGCAGGAGTGGCATAGTGGGTGTTTTGGTGGGAAGGACAGTTATGGGCGGGTCAGAGCAGGTAGCCAGGGGTGACCTAGGTCAAAGAAGGTATCAGAGCAGGTGACTGGAGCAGGCGACCAGGATGAGTCAGGATGGAGCTGGGCTGGGGGAACAGATGTGAACTACTGATTAGAACCAGTGGAGAAGGTTGTTTACCAGAATTATAAGGAAGTTAAACTTTAAAATAGAGAATTAAAGAATAAGGCAGCTGAACATATGACATACTGATTCTTTGAAGAGAAACTTGAGGTTCACTATAACATCTTGAAACTCTCTGCCCCAGTCCCTTGCATGGCTTCCCCCTTCTTGTCAATGATGTCTCTTTAACTGGCATCTCAGAAAGGTCTTTCTTACCCAGTTGAAACCAGTTCCCCATCATGCATTATTCCGTTTTCCTTTCTTCATGCATTTGTCACCATTGAAAGTATCTTGTTCATTTCTTTGTCAATGTGTTTATTTTCCATCTTCCTCCCCCTCAGTGTAAGCCCCAAGAGAGTTGAGACATCCCCTGTCTTCCATGCACATGGCTTCCATGTCAACAGATGTATGTTAACTGAGTGAGCTCAGTGTGGGCATTTCTAAAGCTGCCTGGCCCTGCTTGGCTGCAGTATCAGTCATACACTCCCCTCTCCCACCACACTACATTGATTGGTGCAGATTCTCAAGTCCAAGTAAGGGTAAGAGAAATGGACACTGGGAAAACAGGTTCTGCTTTGTGATGAAGGAGACAGCTTTGTAGCTTTGTGCTACCTGCTGTCTACAGCTTCTCTCTCCATTTAAGGTTCTGAAGCACAGTTAAAATTTCTTCCTTCAGCTCTCCAGTTCTGTGATCATACCAGATGGAGGCCAGGGCAGCATATGGGGCTGGGTAAGAGTGAGCTAAACTACATGGGGTTTAATTCTCCAATCTGCCACATTCTGTGAGGCATTAGGGCAGTTGCTCAACCTGTGTGCCACAGGTTCTTCTTCTGTAACATGGAAGTAACTAGATCTGCTTCATATGGTTTTTATGAGGCTTAAATGTAAAGCTTTGAAGTGGAATCAGTGTTGGCTAGGCCAAAGGGTATGGTATAATTATTTGCATTTGAAATAAACAAATGGAACAAGAAAGTTTAGTAGGCATATTCCTTGAGCAGCTCTGGTTTAACCTAAGAAGGAACAAAAGGCTGCTCTCTAAAAATGAGTTTGTATATGACAGGGTACAGGAAATGCTACCCCAAAATATGGCACCTTGGAAATTGAGAAAACAGCAGAAACAGGAAGGTTTCTCTGACCTTCTCTTGCTCCTTTCTCTCCTGAAGCAGGCCACAGAAACTAGAACTTCCCTCGCCCCTGCTTCCCTGAAGCAGGCCACAAAATCTAAGAAGGTCACTCTCTGACCTGCTCCCTCCTCTCTCCTTCATATGAAGAACCTCATATGACAGATGTTCTGCCCTATGCCCTGAGGGAAGGACTGTCACACAGGTATGCCAAGAAAAAAATAACTAGATAGACCTTGCAAACTTCTCCTTGGTTTAACACAGTTACATCATACACTTTTGTCCATGCAATCATACTTCTGCCTAACTGTCCATACAAATACACAAATGTCTCCATTTCTTTGGGTTTTCATTTCTGAGTTCCCATGTCACGTAAAACTTGGATAAAAATAAATGTGCATGCTTTTCTCTTGTTAATATTTTTTTGTTATTGGAGTCTCAGCATAAACCTTGTGATGGGTAAGGCAAATATATTAGTTTTTTCCCCTACATTTAGTATAAACATATTGAACTAAAATATAGCATTCAGAATCTCAGGGTTTTTTTGTTTGGTTTGGTTTTGGGTTTTGTTTTATTTATTTTTTTTAGTAGAGGCAGGATTTCACCATGTTGGCCAGGATGGTCTCAATTTCCTAACCTCATGATCTGCCTGCCTCAGCTTCCCAAAGTGCTGAGATTACAGTTATGAGCCACCAAGCCAGGCCCAGAATCTCAGGGTTTTAAGAATACTAGAGTGTGGCCGGGCGCGGTGGCTCACACCTATAATCCCAGCACTTTGGGAGGCCGAGGAGGGTGGATCACAAGTTCAAGAGATCGAGACCATCCTGGTCAACATGGTGAAACCCCGTCTCTACTAAAAATACAAAAAATTAGCTGGGCATGGTGGCACGTGCCTGTAATCCCAGCTACTCAGGAGGCTGAGGCAGGAGAATTGCCTGAACCCAAGAGGCGGAGGTTGCAGTGAGCCGAGATTGCACCATTGCACTCCAGCCTGGGTAACAAGAGTGAAACTCCGTCTCAAAAAAAAAAAAAGAATACTAGAGTGCTTGGAAAGAGGCCTCCAAACAAAAATCAAACAAACAAAAAACCTGAAAACATGAAGCTGCCATTGGTAAAGAGGCAAAGAGTCTGTTTGAATCTTTTGTGTGAAGGATACTTTGGTATTAGTGCCGGAATGAATAAATGAATATCTGTAAAGGAAAAGATAAAAGTTATATCAATGAAACAATTTTTTTTAATTTTTCTATTCAAACAATGAAACAATTTTAAGCCAACATTTCCATTTTCTAGTAGAGGCATAAGCTAATAAATAACTTTTGTGCTACTAAAATCTGCCTGCTTTTGTGCTAACAACCAGCTGCAGGGTAAAAAATAACAAGTTTAACTGTCCCTTTTTAAAGGAAAAAAAGGGATTTTGAATGCTAACAGCATTAACTACTGGGTTTTGAACAAAAAGCGTAGGCTGAACCAATCTCTCATGACTTGGGATGTCATTTATAATAACTTGTATTCCAAATTTGATGACTTTTAAATGTCTATTAGCTCAAAAGTTAGTGAAAATATATTGGGTAATATATCATGACAAATTCAACTTTAAAATATGTCTTTTTTTGGAAACAGGGTCTCACTCTATGGCCAGATGGTTCACTGCAGCCTCAACCTCCTGCGCTCAAAGCAGTTCCCCCACTTCAGCATCCTGAGTAGCTAGAACAGGTGTATGCCACCACACCTGGCTAATTCTTGTATTTTTTATAGAGACAAGGTCTG